TGAGGGGAAGTTAAGTCTGATGTGATGTGTATAAGGAGATATTCCGTACCCCACTCGGGCGCCAGTCCTTCACTGTTCTGGTTTTACGGAACCTCATGCAAGACTCCTGTTGCACGTCCCCGTCGTGCGCCACGGATAATGTCTCCAATGAGCATTAACAGAGTTGGCAGGGGATCTCGGAGCTAGCGGCCCCTAGAGGTGTAGAGTCCTTTCTGGCTCTCACCAGCCCGACCCCAAACGCATGGGTGAAAAGTAACAAAACTCAAGGACTGCTTGCTAAATGTACCATCAAATGACAACTCTTGGTTAAAATTCGGGAGCGAATGGAAAACTGTGCTGCTGAGACTCAACCCTGACCGAGAGATTTACCCGCAGCCAAGACGAGTAACATCTCTTGTGGGCGACTTCTCGCAGCAAGATCCCACCTACGTACATCCTCTGTCAATCCTCAGTGTCGTCGTCACCGCGCTGAGGTACACCATGGCAGCAACTATTCATATGGCTGGCTTGAAAACAATGTCCGACAAAGTTACACACCCCACGGCACACATGCAAGCTCAAAGTCCGACGATCATAACTCGTACCGATTAGGAAAAGTCTGAATGTCCGTATCCACTGGTCCAACTCGCCCGGGTGTTGGGACCTAACAGGTGAAGCCACGCCTGACGCATTTTGCTTCCCCATTCTGTCGTGCTAAGGGCACAGCTGAAACAACGTTAAAGGTGTCTAACGTAAGATGAAAAAGAATGTACCTATTTGTGTGGCCACAAACGTCCTAGACCTGCGGGCTGCTCCCCGCTGATCTCCGGAGAGCGCAGCCTTGTAGCGCGGGAAGCTCAATACACAGTTGTGAGGTTAAGCAGTCATGCGCAGGACGTGACGATTCCTTGGGTGAGCCCAGAACCAGAGCATCATGTGTCGGCTCTGCATCTATGGAAGCCTCCTTGGATGGCGGGGAATGCCCATGATCTGCCCCTGCCTTCCCTTGAGGGCTGAAAACTCTACATAGAGCTGCCTTAAGGACGACAGGCCTGGGGCCACACCTGTTAAAAGTCAAAGAGGACACCACACAAATAAGGCAACATCTCGACCCACACAAAACAATGGCCACAGTCAACCTAGAAATAGGCTTGACGTCTTCCTCCGAAGTCGGAGTACATCTGCCGGAGAGGCGGGGAACGAGTACTGCAAACAAATAAGCCAGTAATACGGATGTACACGCAAAACTCAGGTCAAGGTAAAAGCCAAAAGTCCATTTTGGACGAACAACCGTGACTTACCGCCGGAATTCACAGCCGGTGAACAAGAAGAAGAAGAAGAATAACGATGATAGACCAAATCTGGAGATTATTCTGCTAATTTTGAAAAAATTCTGTAGTGAGGCCCCAATCTCTTCCAAGTGTGACATACCACTGTCTGAAAACTACAAGAACAGTTTTTTTGTTTTATAAACCATCCACCACAGACAGCAAATCCTGGTTGTGCAAGATCATGAAACTGTTGAGCACTCACTAAGCTCTGAGGCACAGAGGGGCCCTTCCTGCTCTGAAATATCCCTACAGAGTCAGTTTGAAGTCGATACAATTCTCTTAACTGGGCAGCTTCCCATCCAAGTTGCACAGTTGAGGAGATACATAGGGGAAAGTACCCTTCTTGTGCCAAATTGTTAGGGGATAAAAAGAATTCTGGATTGGAAAAACAAATCAGCTCTCTGAGGTAAAGGGTTAAACTGGAAACACCCAAAAGGCTAGAGAAAAACTCTTATTTACTCTGATATAGTGAAGTAAAGTGCTAGAGAAGCTTTTCAATTTGTCCATATATTGACAGAAAATATTTTAGACCAGGTAAAAATCCCCGTCTCATACACATAAATTTGACTAATGAACTGCAGTGTGTTGGTTAATTTGGTGAAAACTACAACTTGATCATTTTAATCATCATTATCATGTTTTTATAACCATATACTATTTTTCTGACCTGGAAAATAAACCAACAAAGAAAGGAAAAGCTGAAGCACCAGAGCTCAGATGTCTTTTACTATGTGTGAAGTGGGTTAGGCTGAAAACAAAATAAGCACAGAAAACTTCCAGGAGAGGTAGCTGTCAAAGATAACTTGATAACAAATCTAGGTTTTCTGGTGAACAGCAATCTATGCACGTACAAACCAGTCTGGGGATGAAGGACAAGTGCCAGGTCAGCAGCCTCAAGCTGTCAGCATTCTGATTAGACAGCGAGGAAAGAATAAAACCAGTGAGTTCAGATGCAGCCCAATTAGCCAACTCAGCTGTTTGTGAAGGTCATGAAGAGAACGATGAAGTATGGGTTAGGTCAACATCTTGAACAGGAAACACCTGCCAGATAACTCAACAGTTCACAGCCAGAAAGGAAGCCGCTGTGGTTCAGTGGTTAGATGGTCACCTGTGCGAAGGTTGTGGGTTCAGGCCCTGATGGAGTTGGACTTTGGCTCCCAGGCCAACCCAGCCTTAAATGGGTACAAGGTAAAGTCCTGGAAAGTACAGACAGCAGGCGTGATGCTTACCACATAACCCACTAAGTGCCATTTGATAAAAACAATACAGGTCTGACACAATATGCTCAATATGCCTGAAGACGTGGAATAGGGTCCTTGACTTTTTTACCACATCCAGGAAACAACCGCTGTGGTTAGGACCAGTAGCCTACTGTATTCAAGAAATCAAAACTACCTTTCAGGAACAGGTTATTATGATGTTGTGCCATCTGCACAGTAGAGCCTGACTGCAGTGGATATGTGTATCTACTGCTATCTTCCACATTATCTTCCACATGGCAACTTTCTACTGTCTAAAAGCAATCTTCCCCCCTCTCCCCCCCCCCCCCCCCCCTCATTTTAGGAGAAAAAAAAAAAAAACAGACCTACTGTCCTTTAACAAGCATAACATATAGATGACTAATTAAAGATGACTATTCACAAAGATAACTTGACCCCACATATTTACATCGAGTAGTGGATCTCAAACAGGTTCAACAGCTACAAGACCAAAGATGCAACAAAAGAAATAACTGCAGTCAGTGATTCAGTTCATGAATACTTTTTAAAGTATAATAGAAGTGGTTCAAGAAAGGTACACAAGCTGCATCACTGCACTCAGGCAGAAAATTAGGTTAGTTGCATATCCTTTACATGAGCCTTGCAGAACCAACCCCAACAGCCTCTGGCTGTTGTGTGGTTTTTCTAGGCAAATTTACGTCCAGAAGTTTGCCATTGTTTTCTGGATAGTCGTCTTTCTTCATACCACTGTCGAAACCAAAGCAAGGCGCATGGCCCACAGCTGGGATCGAAGCTAGCATACCGGCATTTCCAAGCGTTTGCATTGACTGAGCCACAGAGGCGACAGGCAGAAAATTAGTAAAAAGTAAAGGACCCATTTCCACGCCTTTAGGCGTATAGGGCATATAGGACTAGACCTATATTTTTACAGACCAATCGGCACAAGATGGGTGATGTGGTCAGCATCACGCCGGCCGCCTTTACTTCCCAGGCTGCACCCGGTACCCACTCAAGGCTGGGTCGACTTGGGAGCCAAGGTCATTTTTGAAAAAAGTCTGGCTCTGCCAGGGAGCGAACCCACGACCTTCCGATCCGCGGCGAGCGTCTAGCCAGGGCGACTCCTAGCAGAAAATTATGGGATCAAAAAAGGAAAAACAAAACCCAATCACACAAAATGTTACGCTGAAGTCAGATGTGTCAGGCATGCTGTGCAAACATTGCAGCCTCTCTGTGAACCAATCTCTGTGTGGGTTCTAGAGTCCTATTTAGGGGACAAACGAACTGATCTACTGCCAGTCAACAAGCATGTCATTAAAGATGACAAATTAAGGAATTGCGGAAATCAGATGTGCCGTGCCAAAGCATGGAGATATTACAGCCTGGTTGTAAACCACAACAGAAAGTGCAAACTACTCTTCTGAAGGCAAATGCAGAAGAAAACCATAAGTGAATACAAAACAAGCAACTTTTGTTGTTGTCATTATCCGGACAAAGGACAAAGAGTGGATCTGTTGCATAATCAAGCCTTTTGATCTATAGCAGTGTTTCCCAAAGTGGTTGCAACCGCCCCCTGGGGGGGTGCTGGCATGGTCCAAGAGGGCTCTGGAATGGTCCGGAAGGGGGGGGGGGAGCCTCAGGAGCAGTTAGGGGATTGAATAATAGTAAGACATCAGGGGGCATAAGGAAAGAAAAGACATGTTGATTAAGTGTTCATATCTGTTTAATTTTTGTGTAATAGATTAAAGTTGTATTTGTTAATTAATTTTAAAAATTATCAAAGAAATTATAAGTTATTATCAGTAGGTTAATTCTCCTTTTATTTAAATCTTTCTTAAATATTATTCCTGGTTTTTGTTTTAACATCATCATTTCCATGATTTTACTGTGCGGAAGAAGCCTCTGAGCTGTAACTCCTGCAAGCAAGAGTTACACCATGTATTCTTGGATAAGAGATCACCTATATCAATGACTGGCTAAGGTTAGGACAGCTGGCCAGTCAGTCAGAAAACTGAGTGAGGGAGTCCCTCAGAGCACGATATACATGGCTTTTCTTCATTTATATAATGGATACTTCACATTCCACCTCACTTCCCATTTCCTGATACCTAATTTAGCTGGGCTGACCTGGTAGCCAGGATAATTCTTTGTTATATCCAGCTAGTGCGGTTTTGAACACAAGACCTTTGGACAGGCAGGCAAACATCCAGCCACACTGCTACCATGGCTCACCGAATGTAAAATAAAATAGTAATTTTTTATTCCTTCAAATCAAACCTGTGATACCGTGTTCTCGGCAGCTAGAGGGACATTGACACTTTGCCTGAGAAATCTCTGATAACATAATTCATTAGGTTGGGTTTATGCCAGGTTGTACTGGCTGAGACAAAAACACTGTTCAATAATGGAGTCTGAACAACTGTGAAGACAAGATAATGCTCTAACTGCTTTGGAAGACACACATGGAACTTACCTTGTCCAAATACCATCCAGGGCTGAAACCAGAGTTGTCATGACCTATCCTTATTCTCTGAAGTCGTCCAAGAGTTGGACATTGCAAGATAAATTCGTCAACCCTGTCAGGTAAAATAAATTAATGGACAGAGAAATCAACGTGGATGATATGTAAAGACCAATCAAATGCTGCGGTAACTAACAATTCTTCTGACAAGTTCAGTGGTACCCGTGTTTACCAAGGCGGATATTATGTTACCAGAATTAAACTTATAGCATTACTTCATATCAAGCTCTAAACTAATAGTTGAATACTTAGGTTCAAGTGTCTTTGTGCATACCAGTTCACCTCAGCTCACCTACATATATAAATCACTTAATGGTTTTTTTTTTTGGGGTTATAAATGAATACCAGGAGACGAGAAAGTCGGAAGGGTTAACTTGTATCTTGATATTATCTAACTGGATCCATCTTGATATCTATCTTTCCCTTTTCCTACTCCTGTGAATACAAATACTTTCATTTTATTGTTGGAGCCACTTTTGTTGTTTTCTTGGTTATCCAGGACTGTTTTGGGAATCAAGATAGCTCAGAAACTAGTCCAGTTTCTCACCTGTGTGTGCAGTGTTAGGATTCAAACCCACACACTCACTACATAACTGGATATTCCCATGTGGGTTGGCGATAACTGAGACGCTCGCCAGGGTAAAAACTTGACACATATTAATACAATTACTGCCTAATTATTATGTAGGTAAATAAAGATTAGACAAGGTTTTCTCCACAAGAGTTCTTGGATCTCATTGTGTGTGGTGTGTGTGTGGGGGGTGGGGGCGAAGACCCACTGCCTCTTTGAAAAGCATGATATAAGAGCTGACTAATTAGGGGTTTCTTTCAAAGTCAGAGTGTGTCTGCCTGAGAGACAGGGAACCAACAGTCTTCATAAAAATAGGCCAGGTCTGTAAAATGGATGTGCATGCAAAACTCAAGTTCTGGAACTAGACTGTTCATTCAGAAGTGGATGAACAACCAGAACTTTCCACCAAAGTTTACAGCCGGTGAATGCTATAAATGAACATTCTCTCAAGAAGTAGGGTCAGTTAACATACTGATCATACATGTCACTTGCTCAATAAACTAGTTTGGAACATTAAGGAATGACCATCATAAAATATGTGATGAAGACTGCTAAGAACAAGAAACTGCATGTTGCAAGATTGCAAGTGTGTCACAGACAGCAATTTCTCATGATTATGATCAGTGATCAGAACCAAAACTAAAGGCTTACAGGCCGCATGTGGAGAACTTGTTGGTATTGGTACCTTTATGTCTTTCTAGATGAGTGTTATATTGTGCTCTAGCAAGGCAGGGCAACCACCGTACATGGTGACAACGAGGTGACTAGGAAAACCCGGTCAGGTAAGTCTTCCATAATTAAAGCATTAGATTTTAGGAACATTGTTGCGATCACATGTATTTAATGTACTTCTTCTCAAATGTTCAGCTTTCAAGCTATCCGTAGTCAGCTTTTTCTTTATCTATATGCCTTTCCTGATTCCCCCCCCCCCCCCCCCCCCCCCCCCTTTTCCATGCAACATGGCTCAAAATATGCTATTCCCACAAACCCACCTTAAATGCCTGTAGCATTCATGTCCCACTTGCACACATATTTATATCGTAGGGGAGGCACCAACATCTTCTATCAAGGCCAGAAATGAAGTTCCTCCTCTCCACAACACAATGCCTGGATTGTTGGCAAAGACCATGTGTTGCCCATACAATATTATTCCTCTTTGCTTTGTTTAATCAAAAGGAAAGATTTCATAAATATGTTTGAAACAAAGTGTGCTGCAAAAGCTGTTAGATAAGAACCGCAGTGCTCTGCCTGTCGCAGTCTCCCTCCTACAAGGCTAAGGGATCTGGTCTTCCCTGCAGTTCTCAGGCTGCATTTTCTATGTTTATAATAAGGCTAGTAACATATCCAGTGCTCCTCTGCCCCCAACCATTGTTGTTATTTCCTGAATAAATACCTTACTAGTATGAGGACAGAACAATTATCACCAGTACTAAATGTAGGCTGTTTGTACAAGAGAAAACAACTTTACACAGTTGGTTTAATAACAGAATCAATGTATTTAACAGTAATGTGTTAAGTAATAGCACAGATAGGATCACAAGGCTGTATGAACGATCTGCATACACATCCATGTAACTCGTGAAAGAATCTTTGTACAAACAGATATGCATTACTTTTAATGAAAACCAGCAGCACAGAGAAATGGTTTTTAAATATCATAAGTGGACAGAAAAGACTAAAATGTTATGAACTATAAGATGGACAAGACTGTTATGTGCTAAATACAAAATAGAATGCCACTAGAAAGCTAGATGGAATGGAAAAGACGTGCACAAATACAAAGGAACATTTTAGCCACAGTCTTTATCAACGGGGTACTAAATGCAAATAAAGTGTAACTAAAAGTGACATCAATTCGATCTGCTGAGATTTCTAGGCTTATTTTGTGTTGTAATTAGCACATCCAAATTGTGTTCATCTTATACTTCATGACATGTTGATCTCAGTATGTTGCATTTAGCACATAAAATCTTATTCATCTTATACTTCATGACATGGTCTTGTTATGTTGTATTTAGCACATATCAATCTTTTCTGAGGAAGTTAAGTGGTTTTGAGGCATGGCGTCTGCCAAGAGTGTTGAAGATCCTGGGTTCAAGCTCCAATTAAGGCTGGGGTTTTTTCACGTGGACTTCTAGTAATTGTCCCTGGTCTCTGGGTAGTAAGATCGGGACGCTCATGTGTACTGTTGCACACGTTAAAAAAAAACAAGTGGCAGTTGGAAATCAAAAAGAGTAGCCTAACGGCTCTGCCCAGGCAAGATTTTGAGTTAAAAATCTACCCAATGGCGTTCATGCACTGCACTGTGATTCTTTGGAATCAGGCCTGAGTTAAAAGTAGAATGGAGCATGTAGTATTTAGCACCTACAAATCTTGTTCATCTTATACTTCATGACATATTGGTCTTGTTATGTTGTATTTAGCACTTCTTATCATCAACTTGACTGCAGTCATCACCTCCTATTAACAATAACTACTTAAGATATTTATGGGGTCAATGCAGCAGTTGTAATAAATGTAAAATGACTCACTAGGCCATAAACTTACGAATTTTTCTCAAAACAGTTCCTCCTTGTTTTATGGAGTCTTTTCTCCCCAGAATCTCCAAACTCCCCAAACATGGTTATGGAAACATTGGCATCAGTTCCTCCTCCGTTTTTGTTTCCTGTATACACAGTGACCTTGTACTTTGTTGCTAAGGAAAGCAAGCAGATTTTAGTTAAAAATGACTCAACATTGATAGGTCCCTTTGTTTTAAAAATTGTTTTAAAACTAAAGAATGAGTTTAAGTTTTGTTTTCTGAATTTTTTCTTTGTTTTTTTTTCTTTTTGTTCAGAGAAATATAAAAGTTACTAGAATTTAACTCCAGATAAAAGGTCAAATACACTTAAGTTGTCCTCCAAAGATTATCTAGTCTCTAGCATTTTCTTTATCTGTCTGGCACAAGATTTGTTGGAGTAAAACTCATCCACTGCATTCATTCACAAAGTGACATCCACAAGATTAGTGTCATTGCTGATGATTTAATATGAAGATTATCCATTCATCTGATCATATGGATTCCAAAATGTAAAGGAAGCAGTGAAGATATAAATTAATGGAACCAGTGCTTACACAAAGAAATGCAAATACTAATAATATATAACTGATAAATATTGAAAAGACGGGACTAAAACTAAACACACACACACACAATTATGATCATGACCGATGATATTAGCAACAGTGTTTTATCATCATAGTTTGCCATGATGATAAGCCACAGGGATAATGTTTCTACAAAGAATGAAAAGAATCCTAGGAGAAGTAAAAAACATTTGATTACCCACAGGAGACAATCTAACTATAACTTTTGGGTCTTTTATGTTAAGTGAAGACTGTGACAATTTAGACGATCAAGGGTGTTAGAGGTAGATAAGGAGATGCTTGACAGCCTCAAAAAGAGGCACACACAAAAAAAGATGAACCTCTGGCCAAAATAGCTAAAGGATGGCTGACCGCTGGAACTCTGAAAAGTTTTTTTGTTTTCAGCGAGGTTTCGCTGAAGGAAATTCCCCATTGGTGCAACACTGTGAGTAATGGATTTCATTTAGAATTTGTTTTTTCTGTGTACCAGAGCCTCTTGTTGTATGCATTAAAATGGCAAGTGGCTGTTTAAGTTCAACTTTCATGATTGACCATTTACGCCAACAATGAGCTGCAATTCTGGTGTAAGACTGTTAGCGTTGGAACATCTGACAGCAATTTTACTTTGTGTGTGCAAGCTTTAAGATTTTGCTGATACTGATAAGTTTTGCACTAGTTTTCAAAGGAACAGTGGAAGATATTTTGTTTGATTTTTACTGGGCAGAGGAACGGAGCAGTTTTGAGGAGACCCGACTATAGTCTTCTTCTTCTTCTTCTTCAATCCTTCTGTCAGAAAACTTATATCAGGAGGCCGGTAGCCTTTATGAAAGCTATCGTGCAATCCATATCCTCTTGTTGGAACTCTAGAGAGGTGGTCCAATAGCTGGTACATGCCTGTAAATGGGGCCAAAACCACACACACCATTTTCAGTCTCTCTACCAAACCCCAGAAAGTTTCACTTAGATATGGCAGCCAGGCACTGATACATGATGACTCACCGTCATATTTAGGAGTAACCTTTGACTCAAGACTCACATGGAGAAAACAGATAGAAAAGACACAGAGCAAGGGACTCAAGAGAACACAACTGATGAGGAAGTTAGCTGGAACAGACTGGGGGGCAAACCTCAATGTCCTTAAGAGGACCTATACAGGCTATGTGAGGCCAACACTAGAATATGGAATAGCTGCTTGGGGCACAGCAGCTAAATCAAATTTTCAGAAAGTCTCAAAGATCCAAAACCATGCTCTCCGTATTATGACAGGGGCAATGCACTCCACGCCCATATCAGATATGGAAACAATTACTGGTCTCCATAATCTGGAAGATAGGAGAGACACAAAGATCCTCACCCAGCTCTCCAAATACCACCACTTTCAAGAACAACCCATGTACAGCCGACTGCAGAAACCCCAGAAGGCTAGACTAAAGAGAACTTGCTTTATTAAGAACGCAAATGCCAAGCTCGCTGTCCTTAAACTCCCTCCCATAATAGCAAATGTTCCACTTAAACCTTACAACGACTGCCCCGCTTGGCTTAGGGATAGCCTACCAACAGTCAGAACCACTGTAACAGGGGTCTCCTCCAAATCATCAATGAGCAGCACTGATATGAAATCAACTACAGAAGGAGAGATCAATAGACTTTATCCACACCAGAGCTGGACTAGAGTGTATACAGATGATTAATCAAAGAGAGCAGTAAGAGACGAAGGAGGAGGGATATACATAGAATGCCCAAATGATTTAAAAATCAACCAAGCTGTACAAACAAGTTCATATTCCTCCAGTTACACAGCAGAGGCAAATGTACTTCTAGTGGCATGTTCTTTCTGAATAGACAACAGCACAGAAAATATAGCAGAGTGGTCTTTCTGACTGATGCTATGTCAGTTCTACAGGCAATTGTTAACCCAAAAGACATTCAGTTTGTAGACTTGACGCAACAGCTGATTCACCTAGGTTCTATATTAGAACTATCTTTACTGCAGTGGATTCCAGGTCACTGTGGCTTGGAAGGCAATGAAATAGCGGACAGATTGATAGCAGACAGATTGGCCAGAAGCGGCAGTGACATGGTACAACCAAATAGCGACTTAACCCACCAAGAGATGAAAACACTAATACAATCTAGTATCCAAGAAAGGTGGCTGGATACCCACACCAGATTTTCTCCCTAAGACTCACTTCATCGCCTCTCTAGAGAGGGACAGTCTATTATTTTCAGACTAAGGACAGGGCACAACAGATTTCGTCAACATATGTTCAAATCTTTCGGTGTAGGAAATACGGAGACGTGTCCCTGCAGCGTGGCACCCGAAAATGCTGAGCATGTGCTCCAACACTGTCAACTGTATGCTGACAACAGAGATGCAATCTGGCCTGTTCCAACCACAATGAAGACAAAACTGTATGGTACACCGACTATAGTGATATTGGAACCTCAACTAATAACTAATGACTAAACAACAGCACAGAGGACAAATGTTTGTGAAGGAACTTGATGGCCGGCCTGTTTGGCATGGCACAGGATTATACAGAAAGCAGATGAGTCAAACTGTATATAAGGTCACAATAATGTCATAAAATTAGTTTGAATAATGTCATAAGATTCTGCTGTCAATAATTTGTTTCCTAATGTAATTTAAAATAATAAGTGTGTAACTATATAAGAAGAACTGAACAAGATATGTCATTATAAAAGTAAAAAGATTAAACACGGTTTAGAAAACAAACCTTTTCTAATAGCTAGCGGATCTCTGCTGCCAATAAGGTCTTTGCAAATGTCTCCAGTGCCCTCATCCTTGGCCAGCCACTGACCACAGGGAAAGAAGTATTTCCACTGGGGATTCTTTAAATCTGTAACCACCACCTTGTTGAAATACAGCAGAATAAGACATTTACGCTTATGCCTATAGGTAAAATATACAAAAGAACATAGATATGTATACCTATTCCTGCCGTAACAAAGAGAGATCTAAACAATGAACAAGCAATTAGAAAATTAAACTGAATCTCTGGATATGTGGACAAACAGAAAAATAGACCGTATTTCACAGAAACAAAAAATATCAAATACAGAGGTTCTGAAAAGACTAGGAATGAAATTAGAGTTGCAAATGAAAACAAATAAGACATAGGTGAAATATTTAAGAAAAACTAAAAACATAACATTCTTTTAAAAATCATATCGCAGGGAAAAGTTGAAGGTAAGTCAGCAAGGGGCAGACAACAATACAAGTGGAGGGATAACATCAACAGATGGTTGAACAGCAGTCTAAGATGGTGTAGATCTAGGGCTAAAGACAGACAGTGTTGGAAATCTGTTGCAGCCAATCTTCATTGTGGATTGGCACCTGACTGACTAATTGATCACACAAGAATTCTTTTCCTAAATTCTAATTACAGTAACTTATTTCATTGAATGTTCACACAATTCTGAATAACAGCTGCTACTGCTACACTGTAAATAACTTTCGAAAACACTTATTGGACAGGGAAAAAAACTTCCTGCATGACCAATAACTTCCCAACGACTCTTATTATATAAACAATAACTTCCCAACGACTCTTATTATATAAACAATAACTTCCCAAAAACACTTACTACACAGACAATAACTTCCCAAAAACACTTACTACACAGACAATAACTTCCCAAAAACACTTACTACACAGACAATAACTTCCCAAAAACACTTACTACACAGACAATAACTTCCCAAAAACACTTACTACACAGACAATAACTTCCCAAAAACACTTACTACACAGACAATAACTTCCCAAAAACACTTACTACACAGACAATAACTTCCCAAAAACACTTACTACACAGACAATAACTTCCCAAAAACACTTACTACACAGACAATAACTTCCCAAAAACACTTACTACACAGACAATAACTTCCCAAAAACACTTACTACACAGACAATAACTTCCCAAAAACACTTACTACACAGACAATAACTTCCCAAAAACACTTACTACACAGACAATAACTTCCCAAAAACACTTACTACACAGACAATAACTTCCCAAAAACACTTACTACACAGACAATAACTTCCCAAAAACACTTACTACACAGACAATAACTTCCCAAAAACACTTACTACACAGACAATAACTTCCCAAAAACACTTACTACACAGACAATAACTTCCCAAAAACACTTACTACACAGACAATAACTTCCCAACACTTACTACACAGACAATAACTTCCCAACACTTACTACACAGACAATAACTTCCCAACACTTACTACACAGACAATAACTTCCCAAAAACACTTACTACACAGACAATAACTTCCCAACACTTACTACACAGACAATAACTTCTCAACAATACTTATTATATAGACAATAAATTCTCAACACTTATTACACAGGTAACAACTTCCCAACAACACTTATTAGATAGGAAATAAATCTTAAATATGTTTCTGTACAAGCAGTCACTTATTAACAAAACTTGTTATAATGGTATTAACCTCTCAATGATAATTATTAAATGAATAACTACTATATACTGGTTACATGAAAAATAACTTCTCAATAAAACCTGCTACACAGACAATAACTTTTCAGTAAAACTTATTATACTTCTCATTAAAAGTTACTGCACAGACAATATCTTCTCAACAACACTTATTATATAGACAATAACTTCTCAATAGCACTTATTACATGGACAATAATGTCTCAACAACACTTATTATATAGACAATAACTTCTCAATAGCACTTATTACATGGACAATAATGTCTCAACAACACTTATTATATAGACAATAACTTCTCAGTAGCACTTATTACATGAACAATAATGTCTCAACAACACTTATTATATAGACAATAACTTCTCAATAGCACTTATTACATGGACAATAATGTCTCAACAACACTTATTATATAGACAATAACTTCTCAATAGCACTTATTACATGGATAATAATGTCTCAACAACACTTATTATTTAGACAATAACTTCTCAATAGCACTTATTACATGGACAATAATGTCTCAACAACACTTATTATATAGACAATAACTTCTCAATAGCACTTATTACATGGGCAATAATGTCTCAACAACACTTATTATATAGACAATAACTTCTCAATAGCACTTATTACATGGACAATAATGTCTCAACAACACTTATTATATAGACAATAACTTCTCAATAGCACTTATTACATGGACAATAATGTCTCAACAACACTTATTATATAGACAATAACTTCTCAATAGCACTTATTACATGGACAATAATGTCTCAACAACACTTATTATATAGACAATAACTTCTCAATAGCACTTATTACATGGACAATAATGTCTCAACATCTCAACAACACATATTGTAGAGCTATATCCCACTGTGACAGTGGACTTGAAGGTATTTTTATAACCACTGGGGTGCTCTAATATCACTGTTCTATGGTTAAACACGGTTTTTGGGATTTGCTTCTCTTTGATTCTCAAACTGGAAGTTAGTTAGTTAGTTGGTTTATCATCATTGCACTTCGGACATGTCCACAAGTGCTCAAATCCTTCCCTCAGTATGAACCCCAGTGTCCAGTGGCTAATAGTACCAGTTCTATGTTGATTACCAAGTCCTCTGATGTACCGAGTGTGCGTCTCGTTTTTTGCAATGCCGATCTTAACTCCCAAGTCCATCCCTATGGTGAGTGATTTGGATTCTCAGCCCCCAGAATCTTCCACCCTTCCCCTTTCTCAGAGAGCATTAATAATATCAGCATGATCTAAAGGGTGACCGTCGGTAGTGATAGCGGATCCAGCCAACCTATCAGCTCTTTCATTTCCATTGACGCCACGCATGTCCCAGCAAGAAGATAGAGGTGACTACACGCACAGTGGATTTCTGTTACGATTCAAGCCATTGCCTTCGCAATTTGAAGAACCTGTACCGAAACTGCCTGAATCCTCCGGACCATATTCGCTGAATCACTGAGAACACATGAGCGGGTGTAGTTTTGTGTTTCGAGCCATGCAAATGCTTGCGTTACTGCTATTACCTCCATCGTCATGCTACTGATTGTATGGAGAAGGCCCCGTTGGCTTCTTTGACTGTTCTGCCCGCTGAGCGTGCTGTGAACGCCCATGCGGTTCTTTACTGGCATATAACGGATCTGTCTGAGTAGATCAGTACATCTGCCTCGCCTTAATTTTCACTTATGAGAGCGTTGACCTCTGTGCTGACAGCAATAGGATTCTGCTTCCTGTATCACCTATCAAGTTTGGCAATACAGGACACTATACAAATAAACGCACAAGCCACAGGCATCCATTCTGCACCAAGGGTGATGCCAGTTAAGCTGCCTATTTTCTTGATAATATCTTCTGCCCAACCTAGCCATTATACCCATGTTAAGCCTGTCACCCGTTTCACTGGAAAGCACTTGATGCAGTGGGTGTTTCTTATCGGCGCATATTTTAAGGTATGCCCGAGTCCTCCAGATTCTGATCCTTTAGGTTATAGTTGGAAAGACAAGTAGATTAGTTAGTTAGTTAGTTAGTTAGTTAGTTGGGTTATCCTCATTGCACTCCGGACATGTCCATAGGTGCTCAGATCCTCCCCTCAGTATGAACCCCAACGTCCGATGGCTAATAGTACCAGTTCTATGTTGATTAACAAGTCTTCTGGCGTAGCTGGTGTGCGTCTCGTTTTTTGCTGTGCCGATCTTAATTCCCAAGTCTGCCATTCTGGCGAGTGATGTGGATTCACTGCCACCAAAGTCGTCTATCCTTCCCATTTCTCTGAGGGCATTGATAATATCAGCATGATCCATAGGCTGACCGTCGGTAGTGATAGCGGATCCAGCCAACCTGTCAGCTCTTTCATTTCCATCGACGCCTGCGTGTGTCCGGAACAAAAATAAAGGTGACTCCACGGACAGTGGACTTCTGTAATGATTCAAGCCATTGTCTTCGCACTGAACCTGCCTGAACCCTCCGGATCATACTCATTGAATCACTGAGTATACACACGCGGGTGTATTTTTGTGTTTCAAGCCAGGCAAGCGCTTGTGTCACTGCCATCACCTCCATCGTCATGCTGCTGGTTGTCATGGAGAAGGCGCCGTTGGCTTCTTTGACTGTTCTGCCCGCTGAGCGTGCTGTAAATGCCCATGCGCTTCTTCTTTGGCGTATAACGGATCCGTCTGTATAGATTATTGCATCTGCTTCGTCTGAATTTTCACCGATGAGAGCGTTGACCTCTGCATTAACAGCAACAGGATTCTCTTCTCTACATCGCCTGTTGAGTGTGACAATACAGGAAAATGTACAAATAAACGCCTGAGGCACAGGTATCCATTCTGCACCAGGTATGATGTCGGTTAGGCTGCATATTTGCCTAATAACATCTTCTGCCCGACCTAGCCACGATTTCCCCCTCTTCAGTCTGTCGCCCTTTTCACTAAAAAGCGCTTGATGCAGTGGGTGTTTCTTATCAGCACATATTTTGAGATATGCCCGAGCCCTCCACATCCTGATCCTTTGGTTCATTGTTGGAAAGTCAAGTAGATACCTCATTGCTCCACAGGATGTGTCTCTAGTACATCCCAAAATAATGCGCATGGCTTCATTTTGCACCTTTTTGAGTCGTTCAATCTGGGTAGCACTGACAGTGAGGATGGCCAGAGCGTATTCAATGGGGGAAAGGACCAGACCGTAGAATAGAAGTATTAGTAGTCTTTGCTCAATGTTGGAAGCAGCCATAATCCTCATTGCAGATAGACCTTTGCGTGCTTTTGTTATCACATGGTCAACGTGTTCCCTGAATGACAAGCTGTGATCGAACCTCACCCCGAGAAACGTCATAACGTTGGTTCTGATCAATACATTATCACGCATTTTCACTTCTGGTAAGTCCGACTTGACAATGTGATTATTCAAAGAGAACCATGACACTGATGCCTTCGAAGGATTGACATAGGCATTGGAACCATCACACCAGGCGGCAAGACAAGTAGATATCTCACTGCTACACAGGAAGTGTCCCTTGTGCATCCCAAAATGATGTGTATGGCTTCATTTTGCACCTTTTTAAGTCATTAAATCTGTGTAGCACTGACAGTGAAGATGGCCAGAGCATATTCAATGGAAGTGTTATTTCTAAGGAAAACAATCCCTGGAGGGAAACAATAACCACATGTTAAATGAGCAAAAGAGTACACAGACAGTAAATTTTTAACAAAACATAAGCATATAAAGTTCAACCTACTCTTTCCAAATACCAGCCTGGTGCCAGTCCAGTGTTATCGTGCTCAATTCTGAGTTTCTTCATGGGTCCAACACAGTTAGATTTGAAACGAAATGTATCTGTACTGCCACTCTGGAAGCTTGCCTTGTCTACATTCTTCAGGTGAATTTTGCCAGTTGTGCCAGTTTTTCCATACAGTGTCATGAACACATTTGCATTAGTCCCTGCTCCTGTTTTATCTCCAGTTACTGTCACAACCTCGTACTCTGATGTTAGGGGGAAAAAAACAGTATTAATTAAATTTACACTGCCTTAAAAAGGTGCAGTATTCCCTGGACATTTATTACCTGTGTCCAGACAATTTTAAGATAACAGATAAAGCTAGTCTTATGAGTTGCATGCCATAGTAATGCAGTGGCTAGTCTCTTGCCTATTAGCTGAAAGGTCTGGGGGTTAGAATCTACCCTGAGCAGATTTTTGATTGACCTTGGCTCCCAGGTCAACTCAGTCTACAAAGGGTAACAGGAAATGGGTACCCGGTGGCTGGTGTATTGTTAACCACAGCCCATATCGAGTACTGACTAGTCTATTAAAAATATGGCTCAAGTGTTATACGCTCAATACACTAATGATGTGACAACTGTTCTTTACTTTTACTTTAGTTTCAAAACAGATACTACAAGTGAGGTGTGCAATGTTAGGCCATTAGAGATTTTAGTCCTTGATATAATAAAGAAAGGTGGCCAACAGAAAACTGGTCTTCTTGTGATTGAGTAATCTTTTGATACTGCAATGATGCCATGTAGTTTGTCTGCACCAAACCACCTACGGGTGTTCTTGATGCAACAAACAACCAACTTTATGACAACATCCAAACATTTTCAACGTCTTTAGCAAAATTTAAGAGTTTTATTTGAAGCTAATGGATAATTATCTTCCAAATGTTATCAGTAATTCAAACAGCCAAGAATATACCTACAGAAGTCTAGATAAGCACTTCCTCTTCTGTGTTTATCTCACAAAGGTGACTGATACATTGTGTTATAGTTTACAACTAGGTGCGATATCTGCACCTTTCTGCCCAATACATCTCATGCCAGCTAACTCTCACATCTCATGCCAGCTAACTCTCACATCTCATGCCAGCTAACTCTCACATCTCATGCCAGCTAACTCTCACATCTCATGCCAGCTAACTCTCACATCTCATGCCAGCTCTCTCACATCTCATGTCAGCTAACTCTCACATCTCATGCCAGCTCTCTCACATCTCATGCCAGCTAACTCTCACATCTCATGCCAGCTAACTCTCACATCTCATGCCAGCAACTCTCACATCTCATGCCAGCTAACTCTCACATCTCATGCCAGCTAACTCTCACATCTCATGCCAGCTAACTCTCACATCTCATGCCAGTAACTCTCACATCTCATGCCAGTAACTCTCACACCTCATGCCAGCTAACTCTCACATCTCATGCCAGCTAACTCTCACATCTCATGCCAGCTAACTCTCACATCTCATGTCAGCTAACTCTCACATCTCATGTCAGCTAACTCTCACATCTCATGCCAGCTAACTCTCACATCTCATGTCAGCTAACTCTCACATCTCATGCCAGCTAACTCTCACATCTCATGCCAGCTAACTCTCACATCTCATGCCAGCTAACTCTCACATCTCATGCCAGCTAACTCTCACATCTCATCTCAGCTAACTCTCACATCTCATGCCAGCTAACTCTCACATCTCATGTCAGCTAACTCTCACATCTCATCTCAGCTAACTCTCACATCTCATGCCAGCTAACTCTCACATCTCATGTCAGCTAACTCTCACATCTCATGCCAGCTAACTCTCACATCTCATGCCAGCTAACTCTCACATCTCATGTCAGCTAACTCTCACATCTCATGTCAGCTAACTCTCACATCTCATGTCAGCTAACTTTCACATCTCATGTCAGCTAACTCTCACATCTCATGCCAGTAACTCTCACATCTCATGCCAGCTAACTCTCACATCTCATGCCAGCTAACTCTCACATCTCATGTCAGCTAACTCTCACATCTCATGTCAGCTAACTCTCACATCTCATGCCAGTAACTCTCACATCTCATGCCAGCTAACTCTCACATCTCATGCCAGCTAACTCTCACATCTCATGCCAGTAACTCTCACATCTCATGCCAGCTAACTCTCACATCTCATGCCAGCTAACTCTCACATCTCATGTCAGCTAACTCTCACATCTCATGTCAGCTAACTCTCACATCTCATGCCAGTAACTCTCACATCTCATGTCAGCTAACTCTCACATCTCATGCCAGCTAACTCTCACATCTCATCTCAGCTAACTCTCACATCTCATGTCAGCTAACTCTCACATCTCATGTCAGCTAACTCTCACATCTCATGCCAGCTAACTCTCACATCTCATGTCAGCTAACTCTCACATCTCATGTCAGCTAACTCTCACATCTCATGTCAGCTAACTCTCACATCTCATGCCAGCCAACTCTCACATCTCATGCCAGCTAACTCTCACATCTCATGTCAGCTAACTCTCACATCTCATGTCAGCTAACTCTCACATCTCATGTCAGCTAACTCTCACATCTCATGCCAGCCAACTCTCACATCTAATGCCAGCTAACTCTCACATCTCATCTCAGCTAACTCTCACATCTCATGTCAGCTAACTCTCACATCTCATGTCAGCTAACTCTCACATCTCATGCCAGCTAACTCTCACATCTCATCTCAGCTAACTCTCACATCTCATGTCAGCTAACTCTCACATCTCATGCCAGTAACTCTCACATCTCATGCCAGCTCTCTCACATCTCATGTCAGCTAACTCTCACATCTCATGCCAGCTAACTCTCACATCTCATGCCAGCTAACTCTCACATCTCATGCCAGCTCTCTCACATCTCATGCCAGCTAACTCTCACATCTCATGCCAGCTAACTCTCACATCTCATGTCAGCTAACTCTCACATCTCATGTCAGCTAACTCTCACATCTCATGCCAGCTAACTCTCACATCTCATGCCAGCTAACTCTCACACCTCATCTCAGCTAACTCTCACATCTCATGCCAGCTAACTCTCACATCTCATGCCAGTAACTCTCACATCTCATGCCAGCTAACTCTCACATCTCATGCCAGCTAACTCTCACATCTCATGCCAGCTAACTCTCACATCTCATGCCAGCTAACTCTCACATCTCATGCCAGCTAACTCTCACATCTCATGTCAGCTAACTCTCACATCTCATGCCAGTAACTCTCACATCTCATGCCAGCTAACTCTCACATCTCATGCCAGCTAACTCTCACATCTCATGCCAGCTAACTCTCACATCTCATGCCAGCAACTCTCACATCTCATCTCAGCTAACTCTCACATCTCATGTCAGCTAACTCTCACATCTCATGCCAGCTAACTCTCACATCTCATGCCAGCTAACTCTCACACCTCATCTCAGCTAACTCTCACATCTCATGCCAGCTAACTCTCACATCTCATGCCAGTAACTCTCACAACTCATGCCAGCTAACTCTTACATCTCATGCCAGCTAACTCTCACATCTCATGCCAGCTAACTCTCACATCTCATGCCAGCTAACTCTCACATCTCATGCCAGCTAACTCTCACATCTCATGCCAGTAACTCTCACACCTCATGTCAGCTAACTCTCACACCTCATGCCAGCTAACTCTCACATCTCATGCCAGTAACTCTCACACCTCATGTCAGCTAACTCTCACACCTCATGCCAGCTAACTCTCACATCTCATGCCAGCTAACTCTCACATCTCATGCCAGCTAACTCTCACATCTCATGCCAGCTAACTCTCACATCTCATGCCAGCTAACTCTCACATCTCATGCCAGCTAACTCTCACATCTCATGCCAGCTAACTCTCACATCTCATGCCAGCTAACTCTCACATCTCATGCCAGCTAATTCTCACATCTCATGTCAGCTAACTCTCACATCTCATGCCAGCTAACTCTCACATCTCATGCCAGCTAACTCTCACATCTCATCTCAGCTAACTCTCACATCTCATGTCAGCTAACTCTCACATCTCATCTCAGCTAACTCTCACATCTCATCTCAGCTAACTCTCACATCTCATCTCAGCTAACTCTCACATCTCATGTCAGCTAACTCTCACATCTCATGCCAGCTAACTCTCACATCTCATGCCAGCTAACTCTCACATCTCATGCCAGCTAACTCTCACATCTCATGCCAGCTAACTCTCACATCTCATGCCAGCTAACTCTCACATCTCATGCCAGCTAACTCTCACATCTCATGTCAGCTAACTCTCACATCTCATGCCAGCTAACTCTCACATCTCATGCCAGCTAACTCTCACATCTCATCTCAGCTAACTCTCACATCTCATGCCAGCTAACTCTCACATCTCATGCCAGCTAACTCTCACATCTCATGTCAGCTAACTCTCACATCTCATGCCAGCTAACTCTCACATCTCATGCCAGCTAACTCTCACATCTCATGCCAGCTAACTCTCACATCTCATGTCAGCTAACTCTCACATCTCATGCCAGCTAACTCTCACATCTCATGCCAGCTAACTCTCACATCTCATGCCAGCTAACTCTCACATCTCATGCCAGCTAACTCTCACATCTCATGCCAGCTAACTCTCACATCTCATGCCAGCTAACTCTCACATCTCATGTCAGCTAACTCTCACATCTCATGCCAGCTAACTCTCACATCTCATGCCAGCTAACTCTCACATCTCATCTCAGCTAACTCTCACATCTCATGCCAGCTAACTCTCACATCTCATGCCAGCTAACTCTCACATCTCATGCCAGCTAACTCTCACATCTCATGCCAGCTAACTCTCACATCTCATGCCAGCTAACTCTCACATCTCATGTCAGCTAACTCTCACATCTCATGCCAGCTAACTCTCACATCTCATGCCAGCTAACTCTCACATCTCATCTCAGCTAACTCTCACATCTCATGTCAGCTAACTCTCACATCTCATCTCAGCTAACTCTCACATCTCATCTCAGCTAACTCTCACATCTCATGCCAGCTAACTCTCACATCTCATGCCAGCAACTCTCACATCTCATGCCAGCTAACTCTCACATCTCATGCCAGCTAACTCTCACATCTCATGTCAGCTAACTCTCACATCTCATGTCAGCTAACTCTCACATCTCATGTCAGCTAACTCTCACATCTCATGCCAGTAACTCTCACATCTCATGTCAGCTAACTCTCACATCTCATCTCAGCTAACTCTCACATCTCATCTCAGCTAACTCTCACATCTCATGCCAGCTAACTCTCACATCTCATGCCAGCTAACTCTCACATCTCATGTCAGCTAACTCTCACATCTCATGCCAGCTAACTCTCACATCTCATGCCAGCTAACTCTCACATCTCATGTCAGCTAACTCTCACATCTCATGTCAGCTAACTCTCACATCTCATGTCAGCTAACTCTCACATCTCATGCCAGTAACTCTCACATCTCATGTCAGCTAACTCTCACATCTCATCTCAGCTAACTCTCACATCTCATCTCAGCTAACTCTCACATCTCATGCCAGCTAACTCTCACATCTCATGTCAGCTAACTCTCACATCTCATGTCAGCTAACTCTCACATCTCATGCCAGCTAACTCTCACATCTCATGCCAGCTAACTCTCACATCTCATGTCAGCTAACTCTCACATCTCATGCCAGCTAACTCTCACATCTCATGCCAGCTAACTCTCACATCTCATGCCAGCTAACTCTCACATCTCATGCCAGCTAACTCTCACATCTCATGTCAGCTAACTCTCACATCTCATGCCAGCTAACTCTCACATCTCATGCCAGCTAACTCTCACATCTCATGTCAGCTAACTCTCACATCTCATGTCAGCTAACTCTCACATCTCATGTCAGCTAACTCTCACATCTCATGCCAGCTAACTCTCACATCTCATGTCAGCTAACTCTCACATCTCATGCCAGCTAACTCTCACATCTCATGCCAGCTAACTCTCACATCTCATGCCAGCTAACTCTCACATCTCATGCCAGCTAACTCTCACATCTCATGCCAGCTAACTCTCACATCTCATGCCAGCTAACTCTCACATCTCATGCCAGCTAACTCTCAAATCTCATGCCAGCTAACTCTCACATCTCATGTCAGCTAACTCTCACATCTCATGCCAGCTCTCTCACATCTCATGCCAGCTAACTCTCACATCTCATGCCAGCTAACTCTCACATCTCATGTCAGCTAACTCTCACATCTCATGCCAGCTAACTCTCACATCTCATGTCAGCTAACTCTCACATCTCATGCCAGCTCTCTCACATCTCATGCCAGCTAACTCTCACATCTCATGCCAGCTAACTCTCACATCTCATGTCAGCTAACTCTCACATCTCATGCCAGCTAACTCTCACATCTCATGCCAGCTAACTCTCACATCTCATCTCAGCTAACTCTCACATCTCATGCCAGCTAACTCTCACATCTCATGTCAGCTAACTCTCACATCTCATGTCAGCTTACTCTCACATCTCATGTCAGCTAACTCTCACATCTCATGCCAGCCAACTCTCACATCTCATGCCAGCTAACTCTCACATCTCATGTCAGCTAACTCTCACATCTCATGCCAGCTAACTCTCACATCTCATGTCAGCTAACTCTCACATCTCATGTCAGCTAACTCTCACATCTCATGCCAGCTAACTCTCACATCTCATGCCAGCTAACTCTCACATCTCATGTCAGCTAACTCTCACATCTCATGCCAGCTCTCTCACATCTCATGCCAGCTAACTCTCACATCTCATGCCAGCTAACTCTCACATCTCATCTCAGCTAACTCTCACATCTCATGTCAGCTTACTCCCACATCTCATGCCAGCTAACTCTCACATCTCATGCCAGCTAACTCTCACATCTCATGTCAGCTAACTCTCACATCTCATGCCAGCTAACTCTCACATCTCATCTCAGCTAACTCTCACATCTCATGTCAGCTTACTCCCACATCTCATGCCAGCTAACTCTCACATCTCATGCCAGCTAACTCTCACATCTCATGTCAGCTAACTCTCACATCTCATGCCAGCTAACTCTCACATCTCATGCCAGCTAACTCTCACATCTCATGCCAGCTAACTCTCACATCTCATGTCAGCTAACTCTCACATCTCATGCCAGCTAACTCTCACATCTCATGTCAGCTAACTCTCACATCTCATGCCAGTAACTCTCACATCTCATGCCAGCTAACTCTCACATCTCATGCCAGCTAACTCTCACATCTCATCTCAGCTAACTCTCACATCTCATCTCAGCTAACTCTCACATCTCATGCCAGCTAACTCTCACATCTCATCTCAGTTAACTCTCACATCTCATCTCAGCTAACTCTCACATCTCATGCCAGCTAACTCTCACATCTCATGCCAGCTAACTCTCACATCTCATGTCAGCTAACTCTCACATCTCATGCCAGCTAACTCTCACATCTCATGCCAGCTAACTCTCACATCTCATGCCAGCTAACTCTCACATCTCATGCCAGCTTACTCCCACATCTCATGCCAGCTAACTCTCACATCTCATGTCAGCTAACTCTCACATCTCATGCCAGCTAACTCTCACATCTCATGCCAGCTAACTCTCACATCTCATGCCAGCTCTCTCACATCTCATGCCAGCTAACTCTCACATCTTATGCCAGCTAACTCTCACTTCTCATGCCAGCTCTCTCACATCTCATGCCAGCTAACTCTCACTTCTCATGCCAGCTCTCTCACATCTCATGCCAGCTAACTCTCACATCTCATGCCAGCTAACTCTCACATCTCATGCCAGCTAACTCTCACATCTCATGCCAGCTAACTCTCACATCTCATGTCAGCTAACTCTCACATCTCATGTCAGCTAACTCTCACATCTCATGCCAGCTAACTCTCACATCTCATGTCAGCTAACTCTCACATCTCATGCCAGCTAACTCTCACATCTCATGCCAGTAACTCTCACATCTCATGCCAGCTAACTCTCACATCTCATGCCAGCTTACTCCCACATCTCATGCCAGCTAACTCTTCATTACAGACCTTTTATGATAGACAAAAAGGGTTCCTGAACCCCAACTGGGATAAAATAAGGACTGTTTCAATCCCAATTTGATGTTACATCAAAACAGCCTATTTCAAAATGTCTATATTTAACAGAGATCAGTTTTATTGGGTTAAAATAACAGTAACGAGGTTTAAAGTAAAAACTGGGTCAGAATAAATTCATCATGAAAGAAGAATCATTATGAAAAAGTTAAGATTATTTGGCAACCAATAAACATTTGTTTTCACATATACTGAAGAAATTAACAGAAGCGAGATCAAATATAAACAAGGAAAATAAAAATAATCGGCTATCCTCCGAATAACGGTCCCAAATTATTGAGGTAGAAAATATACCCTAACAGAGTCTCAGTCACATGTCAATTGCGCACTTCCGGAGACTATAACAGCACCGCCAAATTGCGAACTTTCGCCGACAGCCGCGAGTATCCCCCACGCCGCTCACACGGCATGAATTGGGGCTAAACTAGATGGCTAGGACTCACAAGCAAATAAAGTGAAGGAAGCTGCAGGAGGTAGCTGCTGCTTGTGAGTCCCAGCCATCTAGTTTAGCTCCAATTCATGCCGGAAAAGCGCAATTTAAGGCGACGGAAGTGCGCAATTGACATGTGACTGATGCTCTGTTAGGGTATATTTTCCGCCTAAATAATTTAGGACCGTTATTCGGAAGATAGCCAAATAATCTAGCTGCCAACTTAACTACTGAGACAGAGTTAAAAAAAGGATGCTATTAGACAAACTGTGGGATTAACACCTTTCTCCAAATTCACTGAGAAGCAGAAGATCAAAGGGTTCAATCATCTCATCAGAATGTAGCCATGATAATTACCAATACTGGTGCTGATATTAATCAAACTAACATAAGCAACATGAAGCAATATCACTGGCAGAAAAGGCTCTACTAATTCGGTTTGTTGCACAAACGTTTCAACCTAAAATACTAAATGCCGTAGTGCGTCATGCAACAGATAATGATATATTTACCTGTTTTAGAAATCTGGGCAGGAAAAAACTCTCTGGAGGTCTGACCATCTCCATGAAAAAGGGAAAACCACTGGTTGCAGAAGAAGTGCCAGGACTTGTTTGTCTTTGTGTTTGTCACCTCAACCTCCTGCAAGTTCCATGCTTCTTCTTTCTTCAGTGCTGAAGTCTGGAGACATAATGCACACATAATTATTGTTGATTTTTTTTAACAATCAAGAAAACCTTACTGTAAAACTTACAGGGAAATAGTACACAAATAATGTCAGATTACTTTCTTCCCATTATGTGGCATAGTGATTAGTGCACTTGGTGTCAAAATAATAGTCAGAGGTCAATCCCAAAAATTTTCAGGATTAGAGGCAAACAAGTCATTAGAGAAAACAGCAACTGTCATTTATGCTCCACAAAGAATGTTAGAAACTTAGTTAGTTGAAGCTAATGACACAACAAAATATGTTGATGCATTAGTGATCTGCCAACCAGAGCCAACACAGATCCTGCCACACCACATAATTATCACTTTAATTTTTGTGCCAGGGTAACAGGGAATGAATAAGCAGACTGGCTTGCTGACAGGGCCAAGGTAGACAAAGGAAAAGCAATTGGGATAGAGTCAATGTTCTCAAGGAGGCAGGATGAGTAGATGATTCAGTAGAAAAGGATGAATCAGCAATCTTGACAAGACTACAAGAACTTCATGTCAAAAGAGGTGTCCCGAGAAATGAACATAATACATGCAGCAAAAGAATAATAGTAAACCAATACAGAACTGGTGTCATCAGTCGCCACACGCTGAAGAAAATACTCGACAGGACCTGAACATTTTTGGACATGTCCGGGTGTGATAAGAATGATCAGTCAATCAACTAACTATAGATATCCCAAGATTATCGGCAAGAAAGCAGCAGTTAAAGAGTTAATTCTAGCCCCAAAGATAGAGATATGTGTCAGTAAAATGTGGTCTATAATCTCAGAATGTAGACAAAACAAATATTTGTTTGTTTATAAATGATGAAAGTGGAAGAAAATAATGTATTTAAATCAAATCAATACCCAGAGAGAGAGAGAGAGAGAGAGAGAGAGAGAGAGAGAGAGAGAGAGAGAGAGAGAGAGAGAGAGAGAGAGAGAGAGAGAGAGAGAGAGAGAGAGAGAGAGAGAGAGAGAGAGAGAGAGAGAGAGAGAGAGAGAGACTCCACCACCCCCCCCCCCCCCTCCCCATGCACGAACACACACATATACATAACATTTGCTTAACTCACCTCAATTACCAATGACCTCAAAGTCCCAATATTTGGACCCCATATTTTGAAAACATGTGTTGAACCCTTTGTGAATCGAAAAGCTACATTCTTTGCTGACTTTACTGAGCCAGCTCTCTTTGTTAACCGTGTTTTTGGCACTTTTCCTTTTGTCCCTTTCAGTTTTATAAATACCTGACAGAGATATGAGTAGAGTAAATATATAATTACAGGCAAATAAACACTTGCCACTTAGAACTGACCTGTGATTTACAATAATCATGAATGTGATATATGTCTGACTAACTTTTTATTTAAAATAACAATGTCTGTATACTAATAAGCCACAGTTTTCACAAGCTAAACGTTTAGAATACAGTTTAGGTCATGACTGGTGATTAAACCCTCACTGCTTTTGACCTATAACTGAAAATTTGCCATGACATACCAACAGTTCACTAGGTGTGATTTAAAGAAGTATTTGAAAATGCTATGAGCCATGTAATGTAATTAATTTTCAAAAAATGAATGTGTAGTGGATGGATGGGTCAAGATTTCATTGAGTGATCACAGTTTTCAATTAGCAGTACATAAACTCTTCTTCTTGTCCTCCACCTTGTACCCAGTGAGGTTTCAGGGGAGATGTAACGTTTGTTGATGAGCTCTGTCAAGAGCTCTGTTAAGAAATATGTTCATTTCTGTTAGGCTGTTCTTAATGCCATCACTCCATATTTTCCGAGGTCTTCTGCTCACTCTGTACCTGTTGTGGCTCACTGTGGTAGATAGTAACAGGGGATTCTTGTTAGGTGTCCAAACCACTTTATTTGTTGTTCTTTGATGACCTGTAAGACTGGCTTTATTCCTAGCATTCGTCTAATTTTGTAATTTTGTATTCTTTCTTTCTTTGAAACTCCTGCAGCTCTTCTAAGGCATTTCATCTCTGTTGTCACAATTTTACGTTCATTAGACATAAACTCTACCTTACAGACAATCATGTGTTAAAAGTCTAGCAGTAGCAAAAATATGTATATCATCTACAGCTCTAAAACTAAACTGAGGATATACAAAACATGCGTTAGTATAATTCTTCTCTATGGAGCAGAAACCTGGAATACAGACATATAGACAGGAAGATAGAGAGCTTGCAAACAGACTTAGAAGATTTAAATTCAGAAATCATAAAACAAAGATGGAGATGAACTGGACATATCCTCAGAATGAAGAAAGACAGACGATTGAGACAGGCAGTGAAATGGACACCACAGGGACAGAAAGCCAAGAATGGACTTGTGTTGGTCATGTGTTGTGGGGTCAGCAGTGTTGCAGCTATGTACAACGTGGTTGACTGGTTTCTGTAAAGCATGGAAAGTGCCGGGGGACCTGGTGCATTAACAACATGTAGTTGTGATGGGGGAAGTGTCGAAGGCTGATTGACAGGATGCTAGTCAGCAATGCTTCAGTAAGTGACTATTTTTCACTGTATGGTGCATCTACCTTAAACACTCAGACTGATGGATCGCTTGAAGGGACAGCCGTCAGGGGATGGTCACTGAACATCATATAGGTGTATCTGCATAGTCAGGTGTCAGTTGCCTGTAGCAGGCACCTGGGACATAGTTCGCTGAATTGTTTTTATCCACGTCTAGAGGGACTGCCAATGTGAATATTTGGGAAGGCAGTAGAAGACTTGACAGTGTGCCATTGATCACCACTCATCTTTGCCGTAATGTGTTTCGTCCATAATAAAGAGACTGATGCACTTTTACAGAGATGACTTTTAGTGTATTGGAGTTGACCTTGTGATTCTAGGGTTTTAGTATAGTGTTGATTAGAGAACTTTGTGTGAAGTATGGGCGAAACATGATCATCACCCCTAGTCACTTCTCCAGATATGAGATCCATTCCCCCGGATCGCATATAACACCAAGGCTACACGAAAGACAAAATTGGAGATTGAGAGGATCGCTCAGGATCCAACTGAGTGGCGACAGATTGTCTCTGCCTTATGTGCCTCAGGTCGTATATATGTGTATGTATGTATATATATATATTTATACACATATATATATATATGTACATACAATCATACAACCATATATATACATATGTATACCTAGCTGGGGCAGGGGCTCAGGGCAATCTTGAGTCTAAGGATTTAGGGCCCCATGGCTAGTACAGTCACCATGGTGTCTGCCGTTTAGGATTTAATTTGTGCCTCCTACAGAAAAAATATATTCCCTAACTGTAAATTTAAACCTGGATCTCCAGAATGAGAGCCGAGCCTTCTTACCCGCTCAGCCAGCCACTCCTCAGTGCAGCTATACTAAAGTTGATGCAATGGTAACAAACCTTAGCATCTGTGCCACTGTTCTTGAGATCTCCAGTTGTTACTGCAACTTTGTACATGACATCCTTATCTCTACCACCCAGCTGTCTTGCACCAGGCATTAGTCGACCATGTCTAGAACTGTCTGCACTAGCAGATCTGCTCCAGCCTCTGTGAAGTTTCTGAAGGTAAGAAAAACATCAAGATATTTGCTATAAGTTATCTATTGTTCTAGTTACTGGAAATAGGAAAGAATGGGACCGTATTTTACCACAGTCTATGTTAAGTTGCTAATGAAGGCTGGTTAGTAGAAACATCTACATCAACAGTCAAAGTGTTCTTAAAAAAGCTTTGTCTACTTTATAGTTTTCTTGATTAAACTTGTTATTATAACACAAGGGCATATAAGGCTCAGTCAGTCAGTAGCCTGACCTTTGCAGAACCTTGCTCCGATAACAACCTTCTGAAAAACTTCTTGATCACAAGCAAGATGTCCCACGTCCGATACACCCATATGGAGATCATCTGCCACATCCTGCACCCATCTTCTCTTTGGCCTTCCTCTTCCTCTCTTCCCATGTATATACCCCTCCATTATTGTTCTCTCTAAACTTTTGTGACGTTTCAAGTGACCAACTTGCCAAGAAACCCTAACAGCCATTAGAGAAAACATATAGGGCTAGACTTATCTTTTATAGACCAATCAGCACTTGGTGGGTCATGTGATCAGGATCAGGCAGGCTCTCTTTACTTCCCAGGACCCCACCTGGTACCCATTCAAGGCTGGGTCAACCTGGGAGCCAATGTCATTTTTTTTAAAACACTGGGACCATCAGGACCCAAACTGGCAACCTTCCAATCCACAGGTGATATATATATATAAATGTGAATATGTGTGTGTGTGTGTGTCTGTGTGTGTCTGTGTGTGTGTGTCTGTGTGTGTCTGTGTGTGTCTGTGTGTGTGTGTGTGTGTGTGCGCACACACACACACACATATACAAACACACTTTTCAAAAGTTAGTATTAATTAACTTTTGCTATACATCACAATATATTCTAAAAATATGATAAAGCATTGGTTTTGTTGGAGACACACAAAAAATATAAATTTGTCTAAAAATGATGATGCATTGTTGGTCATGTCATGACAAGGTGTAAAGTCACAAATCTTGTGACAACTAGAAAGCTGGAATGGAAGGACTATTAAAGTATTTAGAAAGTGTTGTTAAGCAAACATGACAATGTGGAAAATTGAAACTATCTTCACTGGAAATGACTAAAAGCATAGAAGATATCATAACAAAAAGCATACAAGAGGCTATAGACAACATGCTGACTTATGTCTCATAGGATGGACTTTAAAAAGAAGACACAACTGGTGATGATTTTAGTGATCTTATTTCTTTAAGGTCTTCCAACAAAGAAAGTGGGTGAGTGGACTTAGCAAGTGTCAATAATCTCACATCCACTACAGTAGGCTGGAAAGCAGATTACATTTTTTCTATACCTTCAGCTGTACTAGGCATATCACTGCCAAGTACCCCTTTCTAGATCTAGGCTGTGTTGACCCAAGTATCCACGTCAATTCTAAAGATCCATTCTGATGCGGATCAAAACTCATAACCACTGAACCAACATGCAAGCATGCTTGCATCTGCACCACCAGGTTCTCATAGCTTACATTTATGAATGCTGTGAATAAAAGTAATGAATAAATTCTTCTACTTAATTTTTAATGCAATTAACTGTGAAGAGATGTAATAAATAAATTTGTCTAATTCTTGCTTGTTAACAGTCAGGCAGTCACATGATCTCTTTCGGTTCCAGAAAGTTCTGCAGTAGATGTCTGAAGGGGTAGAAAACCACTTTTAAAAAAATCAGTGCTGACACTTAAGTGGAAATGTCCAATGTAGAAGCCAGATTTCAATAGTGTGCTCTGACAAAGTCTATAAGGTAAAAGAACACAACATGTAATAGCTGAGATTTAAAAACTAGATTAGCTTAACATATCTTGTGTCTCTCAGTACTGAAAGCAGTTAATTAATCTAAAAGAAGGTGCTAGAACGTGAGAGGGTACATGTACCAGGTTTCATCCAGTATGGCACAGTCTCCTTCCTCTGAGCAGCTGGACATCTTGTGACAGTCTTACATAGACCACAAATTTCACAGTGCCAGTGATAACTTCCCCGGTTCAACAAAATATCTGCACTTTGCGAACCAAATTACAGAGTTCAAATTTGAAGCTGTCCAGAGCATGAGGCAAATGCCACTTACTATTAAGTGGCTAGTTTCCAGTTCAATTAAGAGTAAATATTTATTTACAAATTGTGCAGATCCAGAAAATGTTCAGCCCTACCTGTCTTCTCAATGCCTCTATCTGTATAGTTCCAAATCGTCGCTCAAAGTACTCAACCAAATGAGGATCATTCAGTGGATCATATGAGGGTATTGGGGTGATGCGGCCACCATCAATGCGTGGGTAACCAAGAACTGAGTTGATAAAACTCTGCATCTTTCTGGCTGAAACATATAAGAGCAGTGTTATGTATTAGCCAAGTATTGTCATCTGAAACAAAAGAGTCTCCATAACCATCTCAATTAAGTCAATATCAAGTACAGCACTTTGTTAGCACCTGTACCCATTCCTTGCCAAGTTCTATGTCCTCACTTGGAAGACAGCAGCTGAACAATGTCCTTAGCCTGACCCGTGATCTCATCTTTTTTAAATTGTCTTTTTTTTTTTGTTAATTTCACTATGCAACTGGTGTTATTGTCTGTGTTGACGGAGGAAGCACGTGTTCCACAAATCCATGTTCTGTCTTCCATGGTTAGAGATCGTTGAAGGTAGCACATTGCACTGAATGTTGTATCTCTTGTACACTCAAGTATAATGCACATAAAGTAGTTTGGTATCCTTTCCATCCTCTCCCTCTGCTAAGCTTATGGCAGAGGATTAGGATCGCCATGGCTTACTTAAAAGCAGAAAGGATCAGACCATGCTTTCAAAGTTATAAATGACACTGCCCATAGTTTGCTGCCACTACCACTCTCACCGCTGCCAAACCTTTGCTTTGCTTCCATCATTACGTTGTATATGTGCTCAGTATAAGCAAGAACAATTGATAAGATGGCTGCTACGTCAGAGTACTAGGCAAGCATGGAAATGCCCTATTTGCAGTGACGCCGACAGTGATAATATCACAGCATTTGAAAGTTTGTTGGAGTGTGCATAGAAAGTTTTATATATTGAGGAAAGAGGATTTCAGGATGGAGTATTCACAATTACATCAGTTCCACAAGGCAACAATGTTACATTTCACCCTATCCCAGTCTTGCAATAACCAGCTATTTCAACAGAGACAAAATGACAAATTATAAATATAATTTTTATTACAACTTCAAATAGTCAGTGTCAGACTTGGATATTAACTAAATAACATCAGAGAAAACTAATGATCTTTAAAAAAAAAAAAAGAAGCTTGAGAAAGGCTGTGATTGAAGTTATAAGAGATCAGGTGAGATATGAAGAGATTACAAAAATCACTGAAATAATACTGATCTTTAAATTAATTGAGAAACAAATAGTTCAGCCACCTGGGTAAAAAAAAAAAAAAAAGAATGTAATTATGCCGGCAGTGCCAGCTTACAACACAAAGAGGCAGAGAGTGACCTAGAAGAAGATGGAATGAAAGAGTCACTAGCAGCATAAGATTTCCCATTATCACAACACACTTAACTCTAGCTCAGCAGTCTATCTTCTGTTAAACTGTAGCACCTAGCGGCACAAAGCAGATACTGGATGAAGGACAGAAAGAAAAAGTATACACCCTCTATAGGACTGGTACTTTCAGTTACCCCTAAATGACAAAAACCTTGCTTAGCCAAGGAACACAAGTGTCTGTCATATTGTCTCCTTTTTTAATGCATTTGCCCATAAAAAGGTGATTAGGATTTTGTGTTGTGTTTACAGTTAGGCTGCAATATATGGACATTTTGGTCCAACACATTCAATTTTAGTAAAATTCTAGTTAATAGCCTTTTGCAACATTCATGTCAGGAGGGCAGAAAGTCATTTCTTAAATAATTTTTGGTACAATATTTATAATGTACCCCACGACCGTCACAATGACGTCACAGGAGACATTCAAATAATCTCCAGGGGGTAAGGTTGGGGGGATTTCTCACTTCTAGAGTGCATCATAAAAGCTAGCGCTTGTTGGCCCCTCTTATGACGTGTGTTTACCGTGCATCAGCAGTCTTCATCTTTGCCGCGTCTGGTTGCAGCAGTTTTCATTTTTGTTTGCCGTTTGTTCCAGCCATGAATTTTCTACAATTAGTAACATCTGTAAGAGACAAGGAGATCAGCTTTGTCTTCCTGCAACAGCTTGACATTCTGCACAGAATGAGACTTTGCAGAAACAACCAGCAGATAGATGGTGTATTATCATTGTCGGAAAAAAACACCTCCGTTTGCCGGTGTCAAAAATTCTACCTGTCGTCTGGACATACCTTTACGGCAAATTGGGGACCTCTTTCCGGCGACTATACCGCGACCGCCGAGAGTATCCCCCACGCCGCAATGCGCGGCGCGGATTAGGGCTAAGCTAGATAGCTGGGACTACTGCATCTCCTGCATCTTCCTCCATTTTTTTAGTTTAGATACTCTCGGCCCTCGCGGTATAGTCACAGGAAAGAGGTCCCCAATTTACATGTGACTGAGGCCCTGTTAAGGTATAATATTTTAGGCCACTATAATTTGGGACCGTTATTCTGAGGATAGCCAAAAACACAATTTACATTTAATAAAAAAAAAAGTCACGTAGGGATTGAACGCAGCACCTTTTATTTATAAGTCGGATATGATATCAACTATGCTACCCATTCACAGGACAAAATGATATAAAAAACATGACCAGTATTGTACACCGGGCAAATCACGAGATGACAAGCATTCAATTTTGCCAAGTAGAGCTGAGCATGTCACCGAATGCGACAATGGAATGGAGCAACTACTTACGGGAGGTTTGTGCCAATACATTGTTATTGAATCCTGCAGTGATCGGCAGAGAGAACACCACTGTTGAAATCGATGAAAGTCTCTTTGCAAGACGTAGGGATTGAACGCTGCATCTTTCATTTATAAGGCGGATGTGATACCAACTACGCTATACAGTCACATGTT